GCGCCGCCGGCCCCAGCCCGGCTCTCCTCCGCGGCCTGCCTGCAGCCGCAGTCACGGCGGTCCTCAAATAAATACGCGTTTTATCCCGAAAAGCCTTTATTAAAGAGCAAAGACAGTACATTAGGTCAGAAAGGCCAGAGGCAAGTCAGCCTTGGGCTTGAACGTCAGCGGGGAAGAAGCACCCATGGCTCAATGCACGCTGGGTTGAAGAAGTTCAGAAAGCAAAAACGGGCGTTACTAAACCCTTTGGTGCTAAGTGCGAACAAGCGTCCTCCTGGCTCGCCCCGAGCTGCTGCTTCCAACGAGTAGACATCTCCGTGGCCTCTAGCCTCTCTCCAGGCTGCAGCGATACTCCCTAACTTGCCTTCTCGCCACCTACTCCTGGTGGCTGGCCCCTCCAGTCATTATCTTTACTTGTCTAAATGATTTCACAAGATTCTGCCAAGCAATAGTAAGCCAAAGCAAGTTGTAAGGGGCTTACTGCACCTGTACCTTCCGTCACACTGGAACCTAAAGTAATAACCTCGTGAAATTGTGATGCTGTTCTCAGATCCTGATCCTACTAGCTAAAAGAACAAAAGCCCAAAGAAATTCTATGTTATCATAGGTGTCACGCTATCCTCAGTTCCTCAGAGCACATCAGCTTCTAGGACATGCAAATCAAGACATTACCTACTTCAAGTGACCAGTGTCTCTTTTTCTTCTTTCAGATGACTGCATGAGACACAAGAAAAATGAAGCAAAGTCAGACTTCATGGTCTGCTTAAGTAATCAAACTTGTAATTTGTCATTTCTTACAAATGAACAGTGTTTGTCCACTTTATTCCCCCTTTACCCCCCTTTATGTAGCGAGTTTTTACAAAATACAAAAATTAATTGCACTTTCTGAAAATGACCACAACCACCATATAATTTGCTATTCCACTGCACTAGTATCTTTCACACCTAAAGTGATTTTGAGAAATACATCTCAAAATTACTATCTCCTTAGATTCTGAGGATTTTGAATGGAAAAAGATGTAAATTAGTTCCCTGCAGTTTAAAGGTTCCCTTTAAATACTAGATAAAATTTAGTTACTGTTCTAGACATGCAGTCACCTGAGCATGGCAATGATTTTCTTCAGTGTAGGATTAAGCAGTTTAAAAAAAAACAACCCACACCACATCACCTTCCCCATTAGAACAGCATAATATCAAGGTCTATCTGCCTACCACTACGAAAATTATCTAATACTCTTAAATAAACCCTGAGTTCAAAACATTATGCATATTCTTTCCAAATTACACCAAGTCCCATGAACTATGATTCTCTGTAGGGCTCAAGTATATCAGGCAGCATTAGGACTCAGTTCTTAACAGTGTAAAAGCCATCTTTCTCAACTACCAGCTTGGTGGCTCATCAAAATGAATAACTGGCAATGAACCATTAGACTATGGTATAGACCTACCCTCCTCGTTTCACACAAAGCATGGAGCAATTAAATATTACCACAGGAATTACAATGAGGGCTATAAGATCATCCCTCAGAGCCAGCCTGAAGAAAGCACTCTCAAAGGAAACTTAAAACCGATCATTTTTAAGCTTTTTGTCGTAAAAGACTATGTACTAATATATGGTGCTGTGATACCCTAGTGACAGCATTCTCATCTCTCTCATCTTTCTTTCTATTTGTTCTTAAAAGAAAAAGGTACCACCTTTAACAATAATCAAATCACACATTATTTTACCAATTCAAACAGTTTACATTCCTAAAAGCACTGACTGGGGCAAGCTGGTACAAGAGGTGTGAGAGACTGAAAGAGTTAATGTCTCAAACATTGTGGTGGGGCAAGTTCTGCTTAAAGACAAACCCTGCACAGCAAGGAACCAAGGTGAAAAACCCATCAGCTCAGACCTCAGCAACAGGAGGGGGAGGGCGTGCTGGAGGGTGCGCAGCTCCCTGTTCCGATAAGCTGTTCTGATACAAAGATCAAACAATGGCCGTGTCTGCAGGGAAGAAGTTACTCCACAAACGACCCCCAAGCCCAAAGGCTCACAAACTGCTCATCAACCTGACGAGTTCGGGTGCCCGCCTGAAGGAGGAGCAAGGATGATAAAAGGACACCAACTGAAGCTCCAGGCGTGCAAGCCCGCCGGGACTGGACCCCTCAGCTGACTGGACACCTCGGCTGACTGAACCAACGCTGGACCCAGGACCGGTGAAATCTTTCTCTCTTCCTTTTTCTCTGTCTTCTTCTCTCTTTCCTTTTCCACAATCCCTACACCTCATATGTTTCAAGATACAAACCGTTGACCAAGTCTGAGACTAAGAGTAGATCCAGCCACGCCTAGACCGTTCTCTGAGGAGGAGTCTGGAAAGCAAGGGGGTCTGCTTTGAACCTCGTGACTCAACAGGAGGGATCTCCTTATTCCCTGAACTGATGTATACGGTTACACAGTTTACAGAAGTAGTCTTATGCCAATTCCTGTTGTGAGAAACCCTGCCACCTACTACCACGCCCCCCCAGTTCAGTTTGCTTCTGTCATGAATAAAATCTTTAACTGATCGTTTGGTGTCCTTTCACCTTAATTTAGCCCGAGGGAATTTCGAATTAAACACAACTCCCTGGTCTGTCCAGTCTGGGTCATGACAAGAGGACATTTAGAACATCCGACAAATGTACTAACTTCATGTTGCCACCCCTTTACAATGTTGTTGATAACAATACAAAGTAAAACCAACACCACTATACGCTTCAGTAAATGCTTCAGTAAAAATACCCCGCATGGTAATGGTTGTCCATCCTCCTAACAGGGTGTGGTGAAGTGGACAAACCCCCCCTCAACATTTATCCCAATTATCAGGTATCTGGAAGGCAGCACCCTCCTTACTTAGAGCACAATATTTTCCATAGAATATACAGAACAATTACTACATTTAAAACATTAAACCCCAGGAAAAGATGGAAGATACTCTTTTTTCACTTCCCTTCACCACCTGTAAAAAGTGAGTAAAATTCTACAGAGATGGAAGTTGTTCAATTATTTAAAAAAAACAAAACAAAACCAACACCAAACCAAAAAACAAACCACACACCCCAAACCTTAAAACATTTTTTCGTTTGCTTCATTGTTACTATCTGGGGAGTGAGAGAGCATGATTTATTTGAAATTGCTTTGGTTTCAACTACCTTCCATAAGGTGTTCTTTGCTAATGAACTGTTTCCAGTAGAGGAGGCAACTAAGCTACTACAGTTCATGCTAACCATTTTCTGATGTACCTAGCTGCATTTTTTCATATACAAAATTCCTTTAAATACTTATATAGCATTAAAAACTGACTGAATGTGTATGAATATTCAAGTAGCATTCTGCTTTTCCGAATGATTCTGAAAGCTTAAGTTAAAGATCTAGCAACATCAAGTTTCCAGTTTCAGTTCCTAGTTGTTCATTTTCTCTAGAATAAGAATCAGAGCATGGATTTGTTTTCAGAGTAAAATACTCAAAAAAGTGATCTGGACTAAGTCTTAATGAACTGTTTGGACACAGCTTTTATTTCTGACATTTGGAAATAAAACTTCATTTATGGCATGCTTCAGAAACTCTTATTTACCTAGTGATAACATAAAACATCAGAAGACAGACATTGGAAAGAACAGATCGATCAGCTTATACACTGCTTTCTGCAGACTAACTCATACTTTACATTTTCTTCATTAGTTATGGCTGCTAACATGTAACCTGTCAGGCTGCTCCCATACGTGCTTAGCCTTACATAAAAGCAGAGTGATCCAGCTATCGCTCCCAGTTCATTATCAACATTTTAACTATCAGACTGTAATAAAATTACAATCAACTGTAATAAAATCTGCAAACAGTAACTTAAACGGCTGCAGACCAGATTATTTCTGATGAAAAAAGTATATTTATCTTGTTTCTTTTGCGGTAAATTTTGTGTTTCTGTATAACCTGGACGACTCTACACATGTAACAAATGTATTGATACATACACCCACACACAATAATATTCAAGCATCTAGTTCTACACCTGTAAAAGTTGTGATGCATAAAGTGCTCTTTTCATTACTGCACCTTTAGAGTTATCTTGCAAGTTGGAAAACACTTCAGCACAATTTAAGGGATAAAGTAATTACATTACATACTCTCATTTTGCTTTGTAACTCCTGTTGATTTTTATTGATGATGATAAATGCATTTAATTTGCACTAAGAGCTGCTACTACCATTATTTCTAACAATATTTCAGGGCTGAAAAAGTGCAATTTCTAGGGCCACAAAAATAACCCAAGTAATAGAAAACAAGTTATTGAGACACAAAGACCAAGAGGGTCAAGGGCAGAGATGCTCAAGTAGATCACAGGTCACACCTGAAATGGAAGACTGTTCTGCCTCTTTGTGAAAGTACATGATCTTTTACACCAGCTAAAACCATTTCTGGAAGTTACTTAACATTTAAACAATATTCCAAAGTGAAAAAATTATCCTGTCCACTCAAAATTTAAATTCATTAAAAGAAGGTCTAAGATGAGTTCATCACAGCTGCATGGAAAATTCTGTTTCCTCAACAATAAAGATACCAAAGCCTCAGCTTTATGCAGATAAACAAGCTATGATTAAAAAGACACACACACAGACACCTTCCCCCAAAACAGTGGCCTTCAAATTTTATTCTTCAGCCTTTTTCAAGCTGTCATTATAATTTTACATTTTGTACAGTATTTTGTGTACAAAAATTCCATGTATCAAGGGAAAGAATTACCTGTAATAAGATACCATGTATTACAATATTAGGACTGTTGCATTTGCACCCATGATATTTAAAAAATCTCTCAGACAAACCATGTAGAAATAAGTATGCAAAAACTGCAAACAAAAACATTTAAGTAGCCAAAATTAAAAAGACCTTTGTGTGAATCACACAGTCTTGCTCAGTTTCTACTAGGCTATCGCAGCCAAGTAGTCCTTAACCTCAGTTGGAGTAAGCCTCCTAAAACCAGCTTCATTACAGATTCCAACTTCAATGTTGTCTTCTGTCATCTGCCCTTCAAAGCTCTCCTATTAAAGAAAACATACTTCAGTGCATCATATCAATGTCATAACAGTAAGAAACTTATTTCTTAAATATTTTGCTAACCTTTAGCGTTAAGATAGCCGTATGAATGGCATCTTCAAGCTCCAAATCTTCATTGTATCTGTAAACAGAAGTTCATGTATTTCAGCGTGGGACAAAGATCTTTCCAAATCCTAATAATCCTAAAGCCTCTAAAAACCCAAACACTACTAAAATCTTCCTGTTTCTCATACAAATGTTATTTGTAAGTACTGTGATATTTATAGTAAAAGTTATTATTTGTAAAAAAAAAAAAAAGTATTTTACCACTTTTCCTACTGACGCTGTGTAGAACTATTTCTGCAAATATGTTGAATATAATGTTTACTGCACTGAAATAATTCTCCATAAACACAAAAGCTGGAGTTTAAATAAAGCAAATTTCCTGTGTATGTGTAAATAAGTAAACTGGAAGCATCCAATCTTAAGTATTTTAAAACTTTGTTCTGATAATCTGAAAGTGTGCATTTTTTATCTGGCTGTTTTACATGGAACCTGAACAAAACAGATAGTATCCTTTCAGACAAATATCAAATACATTACCTTTTCTCAAGGAATGTTTTTCCATTGACATAATTTTTTCCCATTGCTGTTGCTTTCCATGCAAAGTAAGCTCCCTGTAAAAGCAACAATCTATTGAATTGTTTTGTGTAACTTAGTCAAACATTATGTATTCGATTACTTGGTAAAAAGTACAGAAGCAATTATGAAAATACTGAATGTTCTGAGAATATACGAGCCTATTTTGGATCACATGCAGACTAATTTGATATGGAAACATATGCTGTGAAAGTGTACAAAACATTTGTATAGGGCCCTGCCTATTTTCATCCCCCTGCTACTTTGAAAGATGAATTTAATAAGTCAGCCTCTTTGATTTGGGATTCCTTAAAGAGAAACAGTATGTTTGCCCTTGGCAATTAATACAGTCAGATCTTTCCTGAGGTTCACTCCATATATTCTTCTTTTTTAAGATTAAGTAACTTGTTGCAGATCAACCACCTGATTTATCTTAGCTTCTAATAGGATATTTAGCCATCACTTGTATTCTCTCCTCTGGCATGAAGACTGTCAGCAGTTCTATGCCTCAATCAAGCTGCCTTACACAAGACACCTGCATTTTGCTTTTTACATTTGAGCATCAGGTAGTAATTCAAATTTCTGAAGCTTATCAAGGATCATTACAGTGACCTTTTTTTGTTTGACGTAAAGCGTTACAACCCACACATGCATCAAAGGGTAGTTTTTCACTGCACAAAGTGCACTGTAAACACAGCAAATAAACTCAAATTAACAACTGTCATTAAATTCTAAAGCATATGCATTATATTTCACAATGCAACAGATTTTGGCCTAACTTCCATCCAGTTTAGGGAACAACTATTTGAGCAGCATAAGCAGTCAAACTTTTTTTTTTCTGGTACCTGCTGCAGAATGCCACTCTTGTCACTACCAGCTAGGTGGGAAGGCATGAAAAGGGATGGTGATCTCCCTCAAAAACAGCTGCCATCCCTCAAGCAATACAGGAACATGCAGGCACAGAGTGATCCAGGCCTCCTCCAAGCACCTATTGAAATTGGCTCATTCTGACTTCAGAAGTTATGCTACAGGATCTTTTGTTCTAGCTCTGCATTCTTCTTCTCATCACAGAAAGTACTTCATGAGCACATATACAGCTTTAGATGTTTTATAAAAGCAGTAGAATTTACAAACGTAGGATACTTACAGAGGGATCCGACTGAAATAAATATGGCCGCCCTTCATTCCAGCCACAAATTAGCAGTGATACACCAAATGGACGAACACCACTACAGAAAAAAAAAAAACCCAACCAAAAACAAACCAAAAAAATCACAGTTGATATGTGAAATTTATTCAGCGAAAACCAAAGATGACTAAATTATTTTGGATGGGTTAACCTTCCCCCAAATGCTTCCCGCCAGCCCAGAGCTGTGATCAGGGATGACTAGCCAACCAACAGTACAAAACCAAAAGCATGCTGCCTTGCCCAACATGTTTATTTTCAAGATACGAAGACCCTATCTCACGCCCTGCCAGTTAGTGTTCCTCCCACTGGCCCACTTTCTGTGGACATTCTCCATTGAAAAACTCCCTTTCTGACACAAAAAATTCAATCACCAGGTAGTTGTTATTCCTTATATTTAAACAACATAATCTTTCTAAGCAACTTCAAAATTCAGAAAACCACATACCCAGATTGTGTGTATTCTTGCATCACAGAGGCAATTCTCTGTACTAGCTGAGCTGTTGGAATGGGCTCATGATAAACCAAGTAATATTGCTGAGCCAGCTTCCGAGCTCTGTGCACAAGTACTCTAAAAACAAAAACAAAATTAGTATGTCAAAGATATTCCAATCAGTTGTTACAGCTAGAACTGAAAACTTATAATAAATAACTATGCTAAGGAATTATACATCTGGCATAACACCAATGTAAAAAAAAAAAAATACACTGTGCTGGGTTATCTTTATCAGCTGAGTAATCTCTGAAATACTTAAACTGAAACAAAGGTTGAATTACAATGCTGTTCATTCCCTACTCATTCTTTAGATAAAAGGTTATTTGACAAGGTATTGAATATATTAAGAAAACCTTAACATGAATTTTATATACTGTGTAATACAATATAATATTATGCCATACACTTAGAAGGAAACAGCTAATTGCTATCTGTTTCTTACATTTGTTCTATGAAAATGCATTTAAATGGCGACCAAATAAAATTTTTTAATACCTGTAATCTGGACCCATACCACTGTACACTAAACCTATATGTTTGGTAATTGGTTCTACTTTGTGGACACTCCTTTCATCATAAAGAATGGATTTCTGCTTCTTCTCAGTTGCCAACACCACTCCATTTGCAGCTGGAAAGGAATAAGATTTTTTTTTTTTTTAGTATCAAACTAGAATTATGGAAAGCAGTCAAAACACAGAACAAGTTTATCGGACTGTAAAGAATTTTGCTCCTCCCTTTTTTAAAAACTCTTCAAGTTTACAATCACATTAAACAGAGATACTTTGATGAATCCACCCAACACATTGTTTCTCCTTTTAAATAATCATACAGCTCCCATAATCCCATTCTGAAGATTCTGAAGCACATATTAATAATTAAGCAGTTGAGGTAATTTTCTGTGTAATTTCTATATATATGGACACACAGCTGGAGTTACTTACTTAAGAGACAGGAGCACTAAAACAAAAAAAAGATGTCTACTTCTACCAGCTCAGTGTCTCCAAAATCACCCAAGCAATTTTCTTCCCCTAGCATGGGGCTCTAAGCTCCCTTCCTTCTTTATAGAAAAATTAGTGAGGTACAGGAAAAAAAAAAAAGGAAATATTAAACCCACTAAAAGATGTGAAAATCCACTGAAAGACAGAATATGTAATAGAAGGCAAGATGAAAAAAGACCTAGTACACAGTCTAAACAATTTTAGTTCTCTCAAATGATACTCAGAATCCTGAGTCCTCCACCATACCTTTAATCCCAACCGATGGAGCTCCTGCAGCCACTGCAGCCAAAGCATATTCAATCTGAACAAGCTTTCCAGAAGGACTAAAAAGGAAAATGCAAAAGTAAGCCTAACATAATTCTGATATGCTCAAATCTTTCCTACAACAATCTGATGCTAACTTGCTTTTTTAAGCCTCTTTACACCTAGCATCAGCATATTCTAATCAGAATTTAACCCCCCCTCCCCAAAAGACCACAAGTCTGAAGATTCATAACAGCTTCTAAAAGAACTGGACCTGTTCAGCACAGAACTCACTGCTGCACAGTGCTACTGGGATACTCAAACAACCCACCTACAACTCTCATGAAAGCTAATGTGTCTTGGATAGGGAGCAGTGACTGGGATGCAGATTGAAGGAGGACAAGTCCATCCTCCAACTTGATACCATTTTAAACAAGTTTTCCACTCAGTGGAAAAAATCTTCAGAGCGCATCATGACTTTCTACTGAAATGGCACTATACATGTGGTTTGCAAAAGTTTTCAAGACCCTGATGTTCACTGCTGAAAGGTACAAGCAAAACACTGCTAATTTTTTTGACTGCCAAACACATATCAGGTCAATGGCACAAGACAAAAACAGCTCCCATTCCACCCCCAGGTATTCCTGCATTTTGTTTTAATGATCCATGTCATTCTGGTAATGGATGCAGAATCATAAGAACAGAGCAGCAGGTGTCAGGCTGACAAAGTAACTCATCCAGAACGAGGGGGATCAAGGGGTCCACTCTCGATCCCCAGGGAAAAGGACAGCACAGAGCCAGTCACTCACTGGACAAGTGATTTTGCAAGTCAGATCTGTTCTCTGGGCTGTATTTCAGACACTGTTGTTTTAATAGATGCGGAAGTAAAATAGAAAATTATGTAACTCAGTGCTTAGAGCAGTTAGAAAAAAAAAGCAAGCAGTAATCAATTAGTGTAGTTATTTATACACTGAGTAAACAGTGTATAAAAGTGACACAGTAATAATTCTAGCTTCTCCACTACAAAATACTAACAAACCAGAACAACAGTTTCCTATGCCAGCAATTGAAATATACAGAACATTAGCAAAATATTTTAAAAGTAAGCACAGCCTAAAATAAATAATTCTCAGCACAAGGAACAGGAGAATGAGGGAAAACGTAAGTATGTGTATTCTCTTCCATGTGAGTATAAAATCAAATGGCTTCAAGCTTCAGAGCATGTAGTACTTCTGTACAGTCCAAAAAGTTTGTAACTCTCTTAGGAAACCACTTCCGAGAGCTAATAAAGAATTTAACCCACTTGAGTAAAGCAGGCACATTTGGCGGCATCCATCAAGAAGATTCTTTTCCTAGTTTTAGATTGTGAACTGCTTCGTTTGCTTAACTGCAACAAGCTTGTAGTAACCCAGTTTCCAATTACACAGCATTACTCGCCTCTGAGATTAAGGGGACACTTTACCAAAAGCAGCACAAAGATTCTTGCATTCAGTTTTCCTTTCTATATATAAAACATAATTCTGGATAGCTTAACAGTTTCATCAAAAAAGAATGAAAAGTAATATCCTTTTCTCTGAATTAATCTTAAGTGTATGTATTAGATCAACACTTTAATAGGTACCACTCCAATAGCATATTCATTCCGTGCATGCAATCATTCCCGCACCTAGCTGTGCGCAACACGAAGTGGAAGGAGAGCACCACCTGCAAGTGCAGCAGGAAGGGAAATAAACTATTTAAAACTCATCCGAAAGCTTCTTTCATTCCCACATCTGCAAAGTTTGTTCTGAAGCAAGCTCTCAAGATACCATAGCTCAGCTACCATCACGCATTTCCAGTTAGCTCAGAGTTACGGAATTACTACCCACCCTAAAGAGAGTGCGTGGGGACCCTAAGTTTGCTAAACCGTTTCACCAAGCACTCGCTATAAGGCACTACCAGTGACGAGACAGACCTTAGGTCGGCCCCACAGTGACTCTGACTCACAGCAACGACAGAAGATAGAAGCAGCGACTGCTCTCGGGCCCGAGATCAGCGACACAAATCAGGTGGGAGCCGGGACTCTCACCTCAGCCCCCGCTTCTCTCCCCGGCTGCCCCTGCAGCCGTTCCGCTCACGAAGACTCCCAGCAGCCAGCTGCGTGCCCCCCTCAGGCGAAAGCGCCAGATCCCAGTCGCCTTCCCTACGCGCGCCCCTTCTGCCCAGGTCCAGCCGCCGCCGCCCCCAAGCGCTGGCAGGCCCGGCTCCGCCGACCCGCCGGGGACGCGATGACTCTGCAAAGTCCCCACTCCCTCCTGCCCCGGCGCCGGAAGACCGCTCCGCGTAGGCTGTGCGCCGTTCTCCCCCTCGCCCGCCGACCCGCCTGCCGAGAGCCCAGGCCTACAGCCCTCTCCCCCCCGAGCACCTGAACGTAGTGAGGGAGAAGCTGTAGCCGCGCTCCGCCATTTTGGAACAAACCCCTCCACTCCCCTCACCAGCTCCCTCTGCGCAGGCGCAGTCTCTCCTCCCGCTTCCTCCACGCGGACACAGCTAGCGCGCTGATTGGCCAGGAGGTGGAGCAGAGCGGAGCATGCAGGGAAGCAGCGCCGGGCCCGCGAGGGACGCGATTGGTGAAGAGGCGCGCCGTGGGGCATGCTGGGGGTTGAAGTCCTCGAGTGCCCCGCTTGCCGCCCCGCCCTCCTGGTAGCGAGAGGAATGCTGGGACGTGAAGTCCTGGTCTCCGTCCCGGCCGTGCCGCCAGGTGCTCAGGGCACTCGGTTTCCCAGAAGGCTCAGCGACAGGTGCGCATGCCCTGTGCGCCCTCGGGGGAGCGACCGCCTTCCCCTCCTCTGAGGCCTTGGCGGGGCTGTGTGGCGGTATGGCGGCCTTGGTGGTGGTTTTCTGTCCGCTGCCGCGGCTTCGCGGACTCCTTCAGCGCTGCTGGGGGCGGCTGGAGCGCGGCCTCTTGCTGGGTTTCTCCGGGGGCCAGAGCCCGCCCTGGGGTAGGTACCGGCCTGCTCCTGTCCCGGCTGAAGGCCGGCGGGACCTGTTTCTAACGTTGAACGGCGGAGGGAGGGGGCTGGAGCAGGAGAGCGCGCAGCCCTGGGGACAATGAGGGAACGGGGCGAGGGGCGCTGCTGGCTGCTCCTGCCTCCTCGTTTTGGGGGTGTCGGTAGCATTCGTCTCATATTTCCTCAGCTGCACGTGAAAATGGGGCTTGGCTGTAATGACTTGCTTTTTTTTTTCCTTCAGGACCAGCATTAGCTGTCCAAGCTCCAGCTTGTCTTCCAGAGCCAGTAGGCGACACTAGAGAAAGTAACGAGGCGCCCAGCTTCTTAGATAGCATCTTGTGGATGGCGGCACCAAAGAAAAGGCGCACCATTGAAGTGAACCGCTGCAGGCGAAGAAATCCCAATAAGCTTATAAAAGTAAAGGTAATCACCAAATTTCCATGGGCTTGCCGCTGCAAATAATTTTGTTAATGGGAAACAAGCATGCTGGAGTAAGATTTACACCAATCGTTTTTCATCTCACTTATTGTAGAGAATCATTATAGTGGTCAGTACTGACTGAACAACCTTTCTGGAATTTGTTTATAAATAAGCTTAGAATACATTGTAATCTTCAAAATACTTTGCAACGGGTGCGTTCATCATGTGTGACTGTAGTCTGTGGTTAAATAAAAAGTGAAAGCCAACAGAATGTGAATTTTAGCTAAAAAGCTGGTATAAATGGAAAAGGTTTATTCTTTCTGTGCATCTAATTGAGTTGATAGGTATTGGGTCTCCCAGTCATCAGGAGGCATAATGATTTAGGTATTGACTTCATAGGCTATTTTTAGTAGTAAGCATTTGATGTAGCAGTGCATTGCAGAATACATAGAAGAATTTTGAGAAGGCAATTGAATTTCTCTGGTATTTCATTTAACCTTTTTAGTAGTTTGTGACTGTTCTCTGTTTCTTTTGTTGTTGTTGTTCAAATTACAAAATTTACTGGTTTCTACTGTTTTTCAGAGGAACATAGATGTTTGTCCTGAGTGTGGAAACTTGAAACAGAAGCATGTCCTTTGTGGCTATTGTTATGCAAAGGTCAAAGCAGAAACTCGACTGATACGGATGGAAATAGGTAAAAAGGAGGGAGGACCATTTAATACTCCTACTGTAGAGACTGTTGTCCTTTATGATGGAGAAAAGCCCACAGAAAAAGATGAAGGCAAGCGGATCATTGAAAGAGCCAGGAAGCGTCCATCTTGGTTTGTTCAAAACTGATGCTTTAGAACTAATGCTAACAAAAACAGTTGCTACAGCAAGAAAGATCATGTTTTTCAAGAATATTTTCCTTGTTTTGTTCACGCAATGTTGATATGGATAACCTATGCACTTTTGGGAATCCTGCTTGAATCGTGTGTCATGCCATATGGTGTTGCAGTCAGGTGTTGTTTCTATAGCATGCAGTGGGAAATGCGTCTCAGTGATACATCGTAACAGTCAACAATTAAAGAGAAATCAGGATCTACCTTGGGTTTGGACATCTGTGTACAGTACACTGAATAATTTGTATGTTAATGTTCTATGCTGGTTTTGTAAATAACGTTTTTTTTCAACAAAGGGAAAACATTCACAGATGTAAAATAAAGTATGTTAAGTATCCTAGGGAAATATGATTTCTGTTTTTGGCAGCTGCTCTTTTGGAAGAAACAAAACAAACAAACAAAAGCCCCACAATTTCAAAACCAGTGTTGGTTAGAAACAAAGGATATTTACAAGGAAAGATACAGTTATCTGGTTATTTCCATGGCTCTTAGCAGAATCTGCCTGGAGCTCTCCACAGTGCTGCTGTTTGAGATATTCCTGGTTTTGAGCTAACTAGTGGTTGCCATGAAGTATTTGCTCTTTTTCTGTACCGGGCTGAAGGTGAAGTGTTTCTTGCAGTTGTCAGTATACAAAATAATTTTCTGTCTTAAAGGGAAATGGGGGAAATGGAAAGACTTCCCCCCCCCCTCAAAGTGCACAGTGATTTCTTGAGTGAAATAACGAATTTGAATGTAATGACTGGAAGTCTGCAAATTTGATAAGGACCAAAAGCTGATTCTTTGCAGCCATTGCTAGTAAGTAGTCTGGGTGGTCAGTGTCTGCTTGGAAAAAAACACACAGAACAGCATACAACAGCTTACAACAGCATCCTGGGTCTTCTGCAGAGGGGGCAACTCTGCCCTCTACTGTGCATTGGTACTCTTCAGTGGTGCAGTTACACCATCTAGCTGTGGCTTTTCACTAAGGTTTTAGACACACCGTAGCACCGTTACATTTAAGATTAAGGCTGTTTTCAGTTTTTGGTTGGGATTTTAATATGCCAACGGTACTGTTGGGTATTACAGTTCAGCCAGTCTAATAGCTGTTTGCTGCCAAAAAATGCAAGCCTGACCCTAACCCTGGCTAGGTTGCCCTTGTGTTTCCTTGGTACTTGAGCATATCTGCTCCTGTGCTGTCCTGGTTTGGGAAGCTATGCTGACAGAGAATTGTTCCCTGGCTTTCTACAGCTTGGTTTTCAGTGGGTACCCCCCTATAGCTTGGCTCATGTCAGGGTCAGAAAAGTGGCAACGTGGACAGTAGGAGTATGAAAGTGGAGGACACAGGACCATGCTTCCCAGAATAGCCTTTGTATGTACGTGGCTGAGCCAATTATGCCTGCTTAAGGAATGGGCTTGTGTGTGCTTTAACACCTCACTTCTGCTTTCCTTGCTCTGGATTCCATGTTCTGAAACATAACTGGTAGGAACAGATGTTAGCGGAGATGTTATATTTCTTCCATAGTCTGAGGGAATAATGAAAGCTGATAAGTGTAAATTGATGCCATTTAGTTGACAGTATCCAAGCAATCAACATAAGTTCTTTTTGATTTGTCCAAACAGGATTTATTGCAGTCATATCTGTTTTTCAGTTATTCAGAACTGAAGCCAATAAAAGGTGGCAAGTAGGATGCAGAGTGGAAGTCTTTCTTTTGACAGAGCTGCATGGGATGAGACTGACGTATTGGAGGTGAGATTAGCCAAGCAGTAAGACAGATATATTGTCCCGAGGGAAAGGTGTATATGTATTTTAGGGAGAGGTAGGGGTTTTTTGTTTCTTTGTGTGCATATTATAGGACCAATTACACTGTACTGTCTTAGCTGCTTTTTATATATTTTTGACAAAGGTTCTGTAGAGAAATAAGCTAAATTAACATGGGATGTTGAGAGTCATGGGTTAATTTCTCAGAAACACACAGGTATTATTAAAAAAAAAAAGACTTTTTCTCTAAACATGAGGGAGGACGTGTGGTTTCTGCTAATGGAGTAATAATTATAATTGGCAGTATATTGCATTAGTTTAGTTTATTGAATTATAGTATCAGTGAAGCAACGAAGGTGCTTTACAAATAGAGTTCTTATGAAACATGAATGAAGTTAGGCTGTGTCAACACTAGATGTTTTAAGATACTTGCCAGGCCACAGTTAGGTGATGATTCATAGCCATACTGCTTATGTTAGTACTGCATTTGTGCAATCCAGACAAGAGGACATGCTTGATAATGTTTCATAGTGGTTTTTGAGTAATGTGGGGGGAAAAAGTCATTAAAATATCTGGTATTCATGGTCTCTAAAAGATAAATTAGAAACAACTGACAAATATTGAAGATTTGTATATGCAACTGATACAGTACCAGTTAATTTTCCAAAAAAGAAATCACCTTCAGTGAGAGACAGAACAGTTTAGTTTGAATGACTTTTCCTTCAAAAGAAGAGTAAAGGAAAGCTTACTTTCATAGCTTTGTTTTATTAACACTGACAATATGAAGCTCTATTACTTTAAAAAAAAATAATTCCAGAATTCCTCTAAAATGTGGCATAGTCTGTTAGTTGAAATAAACCCTGTTTATATGTAATTTTGAAAGAAATATAAATTGCAACACTGCTAATATATAAATATACACTTTTTGAAACAATGTAAATTAAAACTAACAAAAAGCATACCGGCTGTTACAAATGCTGTACTCCAGAATCCATTTAAAAAGAAAAAATACATACCTCAGGGGAATTTCACTTTGATACACTGGGAACCTGCTAGTAGTTGAAAAAGACATTCTTTTTTGTCTAAAAATTTCATATGATTAAATACATGTTATATTTGATTATGTTTTTCTTCTGTAATGATTTTATGTAAAAATTTATTTTACATTTTAGAAAGAACCAGGAAGATGATGTAATGTCCTAAAATACAAGGATGCAAGTTGCTAAAAGATTTTGTATCATACTAAGATAGGGGTGATCTCTGGCAGTGATTAATTATGATATCCATAGAGGTTGATAAATTAATCACCCATTTAGCAAGGAAATTTTAATAAAAGGTTTCTGCCAGTCCTCATCTATTCTGTTGAACACTATGCTAGCAGGAGCTGGCAGTTGATATAAAATATACTTCTGTAAAGCACTAGGTGGCAGAGGAGCGTAGCTTTCTGGTAGGTGCAAAACAAAAGCCAAAGATC